ACAGCTGCTGAAAAGAGAGCTTGGGAGCCTACTCCCTCGAAAAAAACAAGAGACTTGAAGAAGCTCCGCCACAACACAGATAAGCCAAAGATATCTGTGGCTCTTCCACAGAATATAGCAGAGTTAAGTTGACATTATCAGTATATAATTACGAACTGTCACAGCAAATCTATCTGCTTAATTTTCTAACATAGTCGTGCACCATAGCTTTAGTTCCTTGTTGTCCTTTCTCCAGCGTCACACAGCTTTATCATCACTCCCTCAAAACCCCGCCAGCTTTGCATCCAAAAATTCAAAATACATCTCTGCTTTGTGATTGGCCAGCCAGTTCTAGGGCCTGGGGCATTGATCGAGGCTAGACCACTAGCAGGCAAAAAGGATTTTTGCCGCTGGCGGCTGGGGCTAGTACACTAGGCTACAGCGGTACGCCTGTGCATGCTGCACACATCAGCCAGGAATATCAGCTCCCTCTGTCTGAAGTACAGCTTGACAATAAACACAGCTGACCAAAGCATCTGCTTCAACATCAAAGACATTTGGTTATAAAAGGTTATAAGAATTTTCAAAGAATAAAGAATCAAAGTATGGGTGTACTTCAAAGAGGAGGGTTGGGTGCTCTGTCTGGTTTTGTTTTTGCTACTTTTTACAACTGAATTCAGTTTTCTACCAATTATGCCACTGATTTGATAGTCAATTAATCTAAAATCCTTTGATTATTTAGGGAAAAGAAAAGAAAACAGATTTAGTGTTTAGTGTCATTAGGATGCTCGTCCTTCTTCACTAAGTTGGACGTTTGTTAACATTTCAGAATGATTTTCTGGATTATTGAACTGAGAGGGAAATCAAATTGAGGTCAGGCCAGCATCATCTTCTGAAATCTGAGAGCACTGCAAAAAGGAAAGTCTTGGGGAAAACAATATGCCACAGATAAAAAGAAAACGAAAAAATATATCCAATAAATACATAACATATCTACATGGTTATTTTAAAAACAACTAACATAAATTGGGCCAAAACAGTCCCTTTCGTTAGAAAGGTTGGGGAATATACAGACTAACAAGGAAAAAAGTTAACATGCTCATTTGACATCATCATAACTTCAACAGGAAGAAGCAGTCGTGTTGCAATGCACTGGAACATTGTTAGCGTCACTAATGATTGGTAAATCTATCGGTTCAACGAGCCTTATTTCCGTGCACAGCTGCATCTATCACTATGAATCCACTGTTTTTAAATGCTGGTTTGATCGGCTTTATATTTATTTATACTGTTAATTTTTGAAAAGCTGGGTTTTGTTAAGTCTAAGAGAAAATATCCAGCAAGACGACATTTTGAAATAAACATAATGCTCACATTTGTCATTAAGCTAAAACAGAGTATTTGAAATAAATGGTTTACAATAGGATTTTACACTTAGATGATATATTAATATATAGCTAAAACAGACAAAAAGAAATGTTAAAAATTCCTTGCTGAAAATTTCACTCCCACCAACTCCCTTTTAGCCGTATTTTCCCCTATCTGGTCAACAGCTGTGGACATAGAGATATATACGGAGACATCTGTTGCACATCATAGTGGTAGACGTGGGGCGCGGCTCGTCTAGCTCAAGGTTGCATGGTTGTGGAAGAAGTGAGGGTAATGTGGGGACAAGTTCTGATTGATCTGCAGCTACAGGAAGAGGAAACCGAGCCCATTAGGTGGAATGGTGAAGGGACAGATAAACCAAACAGAAAGGTTGAAGCTGAGCATTAGATCAGCCCCATCTATCAAACACTTGCGCCTTTGTGCAGCCAGATATGGCCAAAGCAGCTAAAAACCAGCCACCTGGACAGTTGGAAAAATTACAAAACTACACACAGGCACCTGATCCTTTGTCTGATTACAGATCTGCTCCATCAAACAGGTTCTGTTTCAACACCTCCAACTGTACCTGGCATCAGATTCGAAGTACATTCAAATGTTCATGTATTATATTACCACCAGAGATGGGAAAAAAAATGAAAGCATTAAACCTGCATTTCCTGAGACTTCAAACAGTATCACATACAAAGCCAGGCCAGCTGGCCCACAGCAGAAGGAAAGAGAGTGACGAGTATTTAATAAAGATAAAAAGAACGGCTATAAGCAATCTCTTCCTTCAGACTGTTACACGCCATAGATTAGCCATCACCGAGTCAGCTGTGAGAATGAACTTTGCTCGATGAATCAGCTTAAAGCTTGTTGTTAGAAATAATCTCTTACAAATGAATACAAAGATGGAAAAAACAGAATAATTCTCAACCAACAAACAACCTAAAACTAGAAATAAAAAAAAGAATATCTTGTGGATGTATTTTATCATTAAAAAATAGTCATGAAAATAAAGAAAACTCTTTGAAAGACTTTTGGTCTGTACTATCAGTTTCCCCAAAGAATCTCTTTGCAACATTTACAGAAAAAGAGACACCATGTTTATGCGTCATCTGACTTTGTGTATCCTCCCATGTTCCTCAGACAGATAAGGAGCAGAGAGCAGCTCAACTATTAGCTTACATTAAAAGCAAAAAAAAAAGAAAAAGGTTTATGACACACAATAAACTGAGAGCAAACTGAAACATGTCATGAGTGCAAATATCCGTGAGGCATATCAGAACAGAGAAGAAACCTGCTACATTAGCATAAAGGGTCAGATAGTGCTGTGGGAAAAAAAAAAGGGGGTTGGAAAGAAGAAACTGAACAAACTTTAACCGTTAGAAAAAGAGGAAGAGAGTCTAGAGTTAAGGGATACATAACAAAACTAATGTAGGTCAGGTATTACTGATGAAATGTAGTATTTTTACTCCGTACGACCCATAGGTCTATAAATCGGAAAAAAATATCAAGTTGGTACAAAAAAAAAATGATCAGAACAAATTAAATTTGTTTTTACCTTTGCACGCATATTACACTGGGAAAACGATCTAGAAATAAGTAAAAAATATCTTAAATTAAGTGTATTTATCATTATTTTGAGTAGGTAAATGAGATAGTTTGCTAATGGAATGAGTATTTTTACTCTTAAAATAAGATAATCTGATAATATGCACCTTGAAATAAGACAATACATTACAATATTTCCTTACTTTAAGTGTAAATTGTCTTGTTCCATTCTCAAAATGTCTCTTTTGACTCCTCAATCCAAGAACAAATGCACTTATTTTAAGAAAAAATGGCTTATCTAGATTTCAATTTTTTCCAGTGTACAAATCGCTCACACCTTTTCCACCATAATAAATATATACCCTGTTTTTTTTTTTTTACAATCATTAAACAATGGTCTACTAACACCAATGTATTGGTAACAGTAACATTAGGAACATAGTGCACATCAATTGAAGCAAAGTGTAATCATGCTCTAAATGCATCCAAAAACCAGAATTGGATAACCTGAATTTGATTCTTAAAACAGGCATGGTGAACAAAGACTAGAACAGATACGTTCAAATATTTGGAGTGTATTGGTCTGGCTAGGTTAGCAAAGCAATTACCTGTAACGAAATTTCAGATTGAGACTGGGAGAATCCTCATTCCTTACTATGTCTTTGTTTAGGGAAATTTAGCTCATAAAAAGGGAAATATTTATGTTTCTAAATATCCAGAAAATGTACAAATTGATAAGACTTAAAGATGACATGCGAGTGATTCTGAGCTTTAAACTTTATCATTCATTAAATTACATCGATATGCAATCTAAAGCATGGCGTCCTTTAAAGTTTCTGCCTTCAGAGTGACTTTGTGTCAAAAACAACTCAGAGCTGAGGGCAACTATGTGCTGTGTAACTAAAGCACACAAAGACGGGTCCTTATAAAGAACAGGGTTCTATTGTGTTATGTTTACACTGACTGACTTCTTCTTACATCACTGACATCATTCACTTGGACC